GTTTTTGTTTTTCAGAAAACTTTTAGAGTTTTATCTTCAAGATTCTCAAATTTCACAAAATATATTTAAGAGTGGGATTTTTACTTTAATTTCTATCCCGTTTGGCATTTATGAGAAACTCCTTGCCTGCCTGCCCTTCAGGGAACCTCCTAACACCTCCTTCCAGGCATTTCCCTCTTCTGGCTGGAAGCCGGGGGTGGGGGGTTGGGGGGGGTGCCACCCCAGTTGTAAGAGTTGAGCCTACCACTATACACTTAGCTCTAACAGCTCTGGCAAGCCTTCTCCCTTGCAGTGGACCCAGCTGACACTAGATGGCGCTGCTGCGCTCCCTGCTTCTAGCTTGCAGTAGGGAGCCTGCCATAGTGATATGTGCTGGACAGTGTTTAGTGAAAAACAGGCAGAGAGATGCTCTCCCTGAGTGGGTCATCCATCTCTACTCAGACCCTCTCTCACTCCAGGCTGCATTTCCCTCCCACACTGGGGTCCAACCTTTTCTGTCCCCAAGGGTTTCTCATAGTCTGTGGAGTTGGGTTCCAGGATCGATCGATCAACTTCCCTCTGAGACCTCTCTAGCAACCAGGCCAGCCTGGCGATTGTTGAGAAAAGGGGGGACCCTTGCTTCATTGTGCCCCCTCCTTCCCTGCTCCATTGGGCACTTGAGTGGGTTCTCTGGACTGAGCAGGTTGGGAGCCCGTGTCTCCGTTTTCCCTTAGCCCCTTCCCATGCTGATTCATCACTTCCTTTTGTCTCCTCTGCAGTCAGACTGGTTCTTCAGTGATGACGAGGACAAGGGAGAGAGAGTAAGTGATGCAGAGGGCAGATGGGGTAGGGTCTGGTCTGAGGTGGGTCCTCAAGTGGCGGGGGCAGCAAGACTCAAGCAGAGGCAGGTCCCTGACGTCGTGGCATCCACAGTCTGTTGGAGGAAACATAGACCCTCTCCTTAGGAGCCTCCAATCTGATGGAGGACACAATCCTTGCCTTTATGAGCCCTCCCTCTAAGGGAGGCGATGTAGGCCTTGCCCTAAGGAAACAGAGTCCAGTAGCAAAGGCAGACCCCACCTTCCAGTCTTATGTGGTGGCTCTAGGTTTTAGGAAGGTCCTGTCTGATGGGGGAGACACAGTTGCTGCCCTCAGCGGAGGGAACAGCTTGGGCCTTCAGGGTTCAATGAGGGAGTTGGGAAAGTTACAAAACAGTCTTAACTGGGGATATGTAAGACCTGCCCTCAAGAGTGCCTGATTGATAAGGGAGACAGTGGCTGCCCTGGTGAGCCCCAGTCTGATGGGGGAGACATGGGCCCTGTCTTCAAAATACCCCATCCTGTGAGATCTGCAGCCCAGCCATCTGAGGGCATGCTGGCTGACTCTCCTCCTGTTTGCAGACCCCTGTGGATGACAAGGAGCCTCAGTCAGTGCCCAACATCGAGTACCTCCTGCCCAACATTGGCAGGACAGTGCCGCCTGGTGACCCAGGTTCAGGTGAGTGCAGGAGCCCGGGAAGGGGTGGGGGTGGGCTCTGCATTCCTGAGGGTCCCTGATGCCTGGCCAGACTCCCAGCTTCCCTGCTCCTGCCCCGGCTGGGCCCTTCTCTGCCTCCACCACTGAGAAGGGGCTATGGCAGGGCCTTCTCCCTCTCTGGGGAGGTCCAGCTTACCTGTGTGCCCACCTCCGCATCTGCTCAGCTGCCCCCACCCCAGGGCTGGGTAGGAGCTTTGTTTGCCCTCCTTCACTGGTTTCTTTCCTGAGCTTTATATTTCTTATGGGCTGTGTCCTTCTGGGCATGTTCCTCTTTTTAATTTTTCTTCCTTTTCTTCTTGTACCCCTCTCTCTCTCCTCCCTCTTCTCCCTGTACTCCTCCCATCCCCTGGATCCTGTCTCTTCTCTTCTCCTCTCCTTCCCCTCCTCCAGCGGACCTGTTGGAGATTTAAAGGGTACAGTGTGGCGTCGCAGCCTCGGTCACTAACAGTGGTGGGTGATTATAAGAAAGCTGGGCAGGCAGAGATGTCCCAGGCTGTAAGGACCTCACCCTGACATGCCAGTTACTCACGCTTGTTAACAGTCCCCACCCCAGTCCCCTCCTGTATGAAAGCCCTTTCTCAGGAGGAAGGAGGCACTTCCTGTCCCCCTTGCCAGGAAGTCTGGGCCCTGTATGGCTGCCCTCCCGCAGTCCCCCGCTCTGCAGCCTTCTCTCTGTGCTGAGCTCAGCCACTTCCGGTTGTCTGGGCAGGGGAGGCTTGGCAGGTAGTGGGACCCAGCCTCTCCGGACACCAGTGATGCCGCCCTCAGAAGCCTCTCTATAGCTGTAGCTCCTGTGTCAGTCACCTTCGAGGACTGGCTTTTTCTGCTTCTGAAACCAGAGCCCCTGGTCACGCAGCCCCTGAGTCCTATCTCTGTTTATCTGGCCGCCTCATAGCAGAGCAGCCCAGAGACACAGGAATGCCCAGTACCGTCTTGGCTGAAGCCACTAACTCTTCCCACCCCGTGAGGGACCTGCCCTTAGTATTTTGACCGCTCCTGTCTCTGATGGAGGCATACCACAGCACCCCTAGTTGCAAGAGACCGGCTAGGGGAGGGACCCAGAGGACATGGGGTGGGGATAGCAGAGGAGCCTGGGTCTCTTCTAATCACCCGCTGCCGCTCGCCTGCCCCATGTGTGTCGCTGTGTGGTGAGCCCATCTGCTCTTCTCACCATGTGCGGGGCGGGGCTGGGGAGGAGGCATCTAACTTGCTTGCCAGAGAGTATGGATTAACCGCACCCGCCCACTGACCTGTCGGACCCCCGGAGGTCCTTGGATCAGCCTGCTCCCTCCCCAGTCCTGGAGAGGACACTGCCAAGACTCATTTCTGGTTCCTTCTCCACCCCAATGATATTAAGGGAGTGGGACCCAAGTCCCATTGAGGTAATAATGATTTTACTCTCCTTCATAACTTTAGTTATAAACTGGGGCCTTGCCCCATAAGGGCAGATTGATCTCAGGTCTGGAAGTGGAACCTGTGAAGGCTTTAGTCACCAGCACACTCTGCCTCCTGCGTCCCACCCACTTTATGTCTGCCCCTGTATTGGATCCATTCAAATGGTCCTCTTCCTTGTCATGTCCTGGAAGTGGGGGTGCATGTGGATGTAGGGCACCCACCTCTCTATGCACTCACTGTGTGGTCTCCATTTCTCCAGAGCATCTGTGATTTGCTGTGTCTCACTGTTGTGGTTTCGTGGACTGCATCTGATATTTGGCATTTTTCTCTCTAGTGCTTCAGAGTAACAGGGGCTGGAGGCGGGTGAGGGGAACTGGGCCCAAAGAAAAGTGCCCCCCTTGCCCTTAACCCTGGGCAAATGAAGGTCAAGTGGCTGGCAGCCTGATGTCACTTCCTGCCTCAAAAGGAAGTGGTGATTGACATCCTTCTCTGCCTCATCCCTATGCCATAGGGAATGACATTAGGGGCCCATCACACTCCCGGGGCCCAGGGAGAGCTCAAGTTTCTGAACGCCCTGGTTTCTGAAGCCTTTGAGGAAGGGGAATTACGTTCATAAGACTCAGCCTGCTCTTGCCCTGAACCAGTTTTCATTTTTCTTTCTGTTCTCACCAACAGATTCCACCACCTGTACTTCAGCCAAGTCCAAGGTAAGTGCCAAGGCAATTCTGAAGGCTAACCCTACACAAGCCAGCCCACTTTGTTTTTTGGTCAAGAGAACTGGGAGAATTGCAGTTGGATCCTGTGGAAAGTTGATGGTCACTGGGAAGGCAGGTGGGAAACATTGAGTATCCAAGATAAACTGAGAAGTTGTTTGCCTTGGCTGTGCTTGGTGGGTGAGGCTTCTGGTGTCGTAGAAGGATCTGGCTTGCCAGTTAGGTGGCTGCGAGGCAGTGTGTTAAGTGGTTACAGGCAGACAGTCCTGGTTTTGAGTTCTGGCTCCACTGGTAGCTTTGGGGCAATGGGCAAGTTGCTTAACCTCTTTCTGATCCTCAACTTCCTCGTCTGTAAACGATGGCTAATATTTATCCCCATAAATTGGGTTAACAACAAATATGCCCCATATATCTACTGTTTAAGGTCTTTGGAGAGCTCAAAGCAAGCAGAAGGCAGGAAATAATAAAGATAAGAGCAGAAATCAATGAAATAAAAAATAATTGAGAAAATCAATAAAACCAAAGCTGGTTCTTTGAACCAGGTCTCATAGCCAGCTAGTCGCCTGCTCCAACCTGCCTTCTAAGACGGAACCTGTCAGGTGAGGATGCCTGCCCCAGGCAGACGCTGCCCAACTATGAGATATTGAGCTTGATGGCCGAGGGGAGTGTCTTAGCTGCCACACAAAATACCATAGACTGGTTGGTTTAAACAACAGAAATTTATTTTCTCACAGTTCTGAAGGCTAGATCCAAGGTCAAGGTGTCTGCATGGTCTGTTTCTGGTGAGAGCTGTCTTCCAGGCTTGTAGATGGCTGCCTTCTGCATGTGTCCTCATATGGCACAGAGAGAGCCAGAGAGCTCTATGGTATCTCTTCTTACAAGAGCACGAATGCCACCATAAGGGCCCCACGCTCATGACCTCTTCTAAACCGAATTACCTCCCAAAGGCACCATCTCCAAATACTATCATATTGGAGGTTAGGGCTTCCGCGTATGGATTGACTACTACTGTCCATAGTAGTCAGTGAAATCAGTTAAATGTTGACTGGCCGAACTGGGCTCATTTCTGTCTGGGGTCTCTAAGCACTGGCTGGGTCCCAGCGAGCCCACTGTGCCTGACACTGAGCAGGTACTCATTATGTGTCACGTGACT